AGGAATCTCCCTAATGGAGATAAACACTGGATCAGAGAGTCATTTACTTTCCCTGCAATGTTTCATCCCATCTGCAGGCTCTCTCTGTATCCTAATGAGGTCACTTCTGCACACCCCTGTGTTCTGTCGTAACCTATTGAATCCTGAGACCTGCCCAGACACCCCATAAATAACAATGAGCAGAGCACCTGGGATCAAGCACACAACTTTGTTATAGGAATGTCAGCTGCTTTGTTGGGAGGTTTTTGTATTACTTGGTGGTGAATCAGCTTCAGTATTTGTATCATGGGCAGTGATCCCTTGGAGACCTGAAGGCTGAGGTTGAGGCCGGTCCTTGGGGCAGACTGGTATTCACAACAGGCAGATCTCTACTGATAATCTAAGGATTACTCTGCATTTCTTACCTGCTGTTGCTGTCAGCTTCAAGTGCAGAAAGCTCCTAGTTGGTGAACCTTTCTCCTGAACACGGTGTGATGTGCACAGTGTTTCATGATACCTCAGAAGGTTCAGTAAGTGGACAAGCGTGTGTGTTCTGGTTGAACTTGCTATATGAGATGCAGTATTTGCACTGTGCATGGCTTTCTAATGAGAGGCTGGTGGTGTGCATCATCTCTAGAGCACGGTATGGTCTTCTAGTGTGGTCTGCATGACAATGGACACAGCAGGTCTACCAGGAGCCATACCTGAACCGTGAGTTGTATTTACAGATAGAGGTTTAGTAATGTGATGGCTAATGAAGAGCTAATTGCCATAAAATGTTTCATAAGTTAACATCAAAAACACAGTTATAGCAATAAAAATAGCATTGTAAACATAATATCCTCCTGACCAGATCTGTTCCTTACATATACTCAAAACCACATCTGCATAGCTTAGCGACAAGTATCATTAGTGACATAAAAACTGCTATGATGCTGCTCTGGTTGCCTCCACAGTGACTAAATTCCCTGCCAGTTCCACTCGCAGGCCTAAATTCCTCTTGCAGTTCATCCAGCACAGTTTTGTTGTGCAGAGGAAGACAGCACAGCAGTTATCAAAGGAGCACTCTAGGTCCTGAGGTTGTGTAACTTAGGACAAAACTGAACTTCCAGCTTTGGTTTCTTAAGTGTGTTTTTCCAATTGCTTCTGGTAATATGTAAGCCAGGAAGAACACAGCTTGACTTGCAGAACCTGGCTTCTGCTGGCAGGTCTGGCACTTGGCAACAAAGCCCATTATACTGTAAACAGTGCAAATTTGATGCAGAGCCCATGGAGATACACCAACTGCGGCATCCCAGAGTGCCGGTTTAGACAGTGGCTTTTTTGGAAATAAAGCACTTTCAATAGGGAAAGCTCATTATTTCTTGCTGCACTGTTTATTTCGTTCCAAACGCTTATGATTTGATGGAAACAAGAAGCTCTGAGGTAGCTTGAGATGCTGTAAAAGAGTGCACCTGCAAGACATCTTTTAAGTACCATTGCTTCTTTAGTCAATAAAGCCCTGCAACTTTGCAAATGACTCAGGATACAGCTTTTGCTTGAGAGAAAGAAGTGATGAAAAGACACAACACCCAGGAGTATAAATGAGCAGTAAATCATTGACACAGCCTTATAAAATCCCTTTCAGGCCTCTCAGATGCCATCATCCTTTCTACTTGGGTTTCCGAGCCCCCAAAAGTGTATTTTGTGTGCTGTGAGCAGTGAGACTTGGTTTCACATTCAGAAATCACCGTGCATTGTGTTTGTTATTCCCTTTCTAAGTTTGTAGCTGGAAAAGTATATTTTGGTCATGTTCTTCTAAGCAACCGTTTCTTGAGCTATCTAATGCTATCCTAAATCTTGGACTGTCTCCCTCCTGTTTCCCAGCTGTTTCTCTGGAAGGCCATTAACCACCTCACTCCTTTCCCATTTAAACAGCCTTTTCTAATTTCCAGCTTTAAGTTTATTCATGGCTGGTGCATAATACTATGCTCTTGTGCCAGCATTGTCATTTAACTTCAATAGCTCTCTTCCCTGCCTGATGTATATACAAAGAGACATCATATTCCTGCTCTGCTTTCATCATCCTAGGCTAAGCATCTTTTTGTCTTCCCTCATAAGCAAGGTCCTTCGTCCCATGATTGTCCAAGTAGCCCATCTCCACAACATCCGAACAGCATTTCAAGAACACAACTGTGAATCCAGAACCTCCCTGAGAAAACTGTTAGTTACCCATTCTATTTAAATCTCTGCTTTTGTTAGCTTTGAAAGTCCTTCACTCTCAGGAATCCCCCCGTGTTGATGCTTTTACAGCGTGAGCAGGCGGTGGAAAACCACTTCGTTGTATGTTGTACAGGTTTTACATCATTTCTTCAGAGCACAGACCACTACTTGCAGATGAGATGTGCATTTGTGACATCCAGTGGGCTTTATATACACACAAGAGAGGCTTGTAGTGTATTTAGTGTTGCTGAGGGCAGTAGATCACATAAAGACACATGTGTTTTGAAACCTGCAGCTGGTACGATACAGACAAGCCTACGTGAGACTTGAAATAAGCTGGGGCCTAATTCTACAACTAGTTTTTCAACTGATGCAAAAGACTGCAGAAACCTGCAAACTGCTTGAGCAACTCCCAGCAAATCCATGGACATTTCTGAGAGAGACATGGGAATGAAAAGAGCAGTTCCTAAAATATCCTATATGATTTAGTTACCATAAGCTCATCACTGGAGGCAGAGTAAAGGGCTGTGTGTTCAAGTCTAGCCCTTTGCAATCCCCAAGTAAAAAGTATTAGCTGAAACCCTTTCATAGTAGTTAATTGACCTTTTACAGTCCTTTAAGCAAACAGATTTCCCTTCAAATTTGCAGTGAATTTGGACCATGCACATAATCAGCTTGCACAGCTCTATTGATGAGTGCTAAGTCATTAAGCTGTGATAACTTGCTCACTTACAGTCATCTGTCCACACTCATCATGCTGCCTTTAGCAACGTGCCATAGCTGTTTTATGCTGGAAGAGCATTAATGTTCTCTACATGTTGCTGAGAAGAACTGGAAGGCTTTTAACATTCAGTGAATGCAACTAAGGTATTTCACATGTCAGCAACGTAGGGGTTTGGCAGACAGAAAACATTTTGAGTGTTTTTGGAACAAGAAAACAGTACAATAACACCGTCCTTCTTCCTGGGCTTAGGATATGGTTGAATTTCCTACCTCAACAGTGATTAAAAACAACTTCATAGATCCTAAAACTAAAAAAAGCTAAAACTTCACGGTGATGAATGGGAGCCATTTGGGAATTAAAGCTGTCGTTGCAAGTTCTCAGCATGCTCTGGAAGACAAGGTTGGATCCATTTTTGCATTGAACTCATGCAGCAGAGTTTTCCTTTAGAGCTACCATTGATAAAGCCACATTACGCTATCGGCATAGAAGTAATTAGGGGTGCTTAATTTGTTTGAAAGTAAGGCTGCCCAGGTTACTGGAATCCAATTCTTCTGCAGTGAGAATTGGAAACAAAAGATAGAGCACTGTATGCAATTATAATGATACAGGTTAAATATTGCATACTACCACATACTTAAAATGGTTGCTCTTCATTTCAGGATAGGACTGATAGGAATAAGGTCAGTATTGCTTCTTCAAAAGCATTGACAAACAGAATAGAGAAGGAAATCCTTATCATGTTTCTTGGTGATGCAAGACCAAAGGTAAACACTCTGAAGCTTTATGAATTCCAGGCAGACTTGTCCGTCTCATATTTGGATTGATCTCAAGCATTTTTCAATTGACTTGGATCAAAATCATTATCACTTCTTGGTTTATTACAGTAGAATGACTTTGAAGCCAGTTCTACTCTCTTATCACTCAATGAGATTTCTCTAATACTTAACATACCCGTTTTTAAAGCAAGAGCAAAATGTAGTGTTGCATCAAGTAACCTTCATTTACTGAGCCCAACTTTGTCTTAACAGTGTAGAATCTTGCACAGAAGATCGAGCATGTTTTGCAGCATGGGAACTATTATAAAAGCAACTCACAAAACATCCAAGCAACCAATACCGTGCCATAGAGTGAGTCTTTTAAAATCATAGAATCACAGAATGGTTTGGGTTGGAAAGGACCTTAAGATCATCCAATTCCAACCGCCTGGAAATATTTTACATCAGGTGGGTTGTGTTCATCACCTGAGCTACACTTCCACAAGTTCAACTGATTTAACTGGGGGGTAGCTGTTGTCCAAAGGGCCTGGGATTTGTACCATCTCTACCATTGACTCAGTGAAGCTGAACTGCCTCTACACTGTGCAGTTTTCCTTGATGCAAAGAGGAAATGGTTTGCATCAGGTAGGTCCCCAACAACTTCTTTTAGAGGAGATGTCTTCTCCCTGTGGGATGTACCCGTAGGCTGTCTGCAGCACAGATATGTAAGGTTGATGCCACGAAGTTTGCCGCGTAAAGTTAGAAGAACTGAATCAAGACTTGCAGGATGAAACCCGCAACTTGCTTCTATACAATATGTGCAACAAACTGATGATCATGTCATTTGTGCATCTTACTAGAGAGAGAAAAGCAGCTGTTCTGTCGGTCTATTTGATCGTGCTCCTTTCTTTTCTTGATGTGAGTTCTTAAATCTGTGCTGAAGAGAAATGACTAAGGATGATCTGATCGTTTGTAGCATGTCAGTCCTGTTTTGTGCTCTGTTTTGTTCCTTGAAGTTTCACACGGTAGTGGCAAAACAATATAGTTTTGCCAAAATTAATAGCCAAAATATAGTTCTCAATGTGTAACCTATTTGTAGAATGTGTTTGTATACAAATATATAGTCCCAGTGCTGCCTACATTCAAAATGTGCCTGTGTGGTTCATTCTTCATGTATTACAGGAGGCATGAAGGTCAGCAACTTGGAGCTTTGTAAGAAAGATCCTGGACATTATTACAATGCATGGCCAAGTCTTCCATACCAAAGTACTAGAGCATGCTCCTAGAAACTGCTTTAGGTGCCTTCTAAATGAGTCGATAACTTCTCTCTTTTTCCCCAGGATGTAATTGGAAAAGCACTGCAGTATATAGGAACATATGGTGAGCTCTGCAACACGGAGCAAGTCGTGGCTCTGATTGACGAGGAAATGTGCATCAACTGTGGCAAATGTTACATGACCTGTAATGATTCTGGCTACCAGGTAAGAGCACAGATGTGATTAGCAGAGAGGCAGGAGGAGTTCTCTTTCTGCTGCTGGGAAGAAAGAATCCACCTTCTGTTAATGAGCAGGTGGTAAAAGCAGATGTCTAAACTACTGGATTCGAAGCCCAGCATGCTCCCAGGCTGTGCCGTGCAAGCCCTGCCCGAGCTCTTTGCATGGTGGTGAGAACATCAGCCAGCATGGATCCTTCTGGAAGGCTGTGCTGAGTGTACCTCTCTAGGCCACTCTCCCAGTCTCTCCAACCTGGTGGGTTCTATGGTTAGAGCAGCAGGGTGAAGTTTGCAGGATGTTGAGCTGAGGGCTCCCGTTTGCACCAAAGTATTTCTTTGATTTCCGCTCAGGATGGCAACACCAGTTGTACAGGTCTGATGAATTCAACTACATACAGCCAAAGAAAGAAACCTTCCCGTTTAAAATCAACTACTGCAATTAAACCAAGTGTGTCAGGGCAAAGGTAGATGTGGTTTTTACCACTGATGTGAGAAGATTAATGCTGCATTTATACCAAATCAGATTACTACAGTAGCCTTTTAACTGTTTAAATCTCTCCTTGCAGTCTTCACATCTTCTCCTTCCGTCAGATTTCCCAGTGAAGAGGAGGATATAGCCCTTGCAGAGCAAAAGACTCTGTTTATATTTAGTACAACTTTCTTTTCATACCTGGAAAAAAATGAGCACCAAAAGAAGCAAAGTTTAAAACCCCGGGAGGTTTTCCAAGCACAACAAAAATCATGGTTTTTCTTTAATTAATGAAATTGAAAAGAAACGAATTGCCAAGAAATTCTTAATTGCAAAGAACTCACACACACCCCTTCGATATAACATCTGCTTTGTGCTTCCCTTTGTTTCAGAAATATCCATGCTGCTCTCCAGAGCTATCACCTTGTGTGACTCCAGTAGAAAAGCTTTCCTTAATTTAAAGTTAGCACTGTTGTCTTGACTTCCTCTCACTCTTTGAACTCCCTTTCAACATGTGCATTGTTGTCGGGGAGAGAGGAAGAAGCCCTTAAACACTCAGAAACCAAAGCTCTCTTTGTGTTCAAGCTCAAGTAAAACTTGTAGATTCAGGGCAGTTAGTCCCTACTTCGTGCCCTGTGCTGGCTGCTACAGCAACTTCTGTGCTTTCCTGGTAATGAAACCCCAGATGCCACAAATCTGCCTTTGGAGCCAACCTGCATCATCACTTTGTACCTCCCGTCTCCTCCCTGGCTCCTCCAGTTGCTGCCAATGGTGATAGAGGTTTGCTAAAGCACCACTTGCTTGCAGAGAAGTGAGAGTTCACCTTTCAGGCCTGATTTTTCCTTCCTAAAACTCTTGAAAGTAGATACTCGGTGGGGGTTTTGTATTTCTTGCTTTTCTAGGCTGGCTTGCTTAGATATCGAAGCTTTTGCAGTCGCGTGGTGCTTTTGTTTTTGCTTTTAATTGCCATTTCCATTATACCAGGAGCTTATTTCATCGAGACTGCAATTGTTATTTCACATTCAAATACACTTATCACCCTAATTGGTACTGAGGATTCGCTGCGTGGAGACGTAAGAACTAAAGCAAGCTCTGCCTGCCCACAACTCAGATATCCCCTTCGAAGATGTGCAAAGGAAAACAATCATGCGAGGCACCATGTGCTGTGTTTTTTCTCTGTTTATTACACTAGATTGTTTATGCTGTGCTGAAAATTAAAGTCAAAAGAATGCATTGTGCTGAGGCCATCCAGGCATGGTCTGGTGTCTCCTCTGGACCAATAACCCCGGTGAACTGCTATCTTAGGAAATAGGTCCTTCACGTGGAGGAGACGCATCCCTCTGGGAGTTTCAGCATCATGGGCCGTACTCCTTTTGTAACGAGCCCTTGTGAGCTTTTGCTGAGGTATAATTTGACCCATGTTCCCAGTTTTGAAGTGTCAGTGGGGAGGGGATGGGGCTGTTTTGTTCCCTGCCGGTCGAACAGTTGCTATAGCTGCAGTGCAGCAGTACACCAAGATGTCTCCAAGTGCTGCAGCAGCCGCTAAAACGGGAGCAACTGTGACCTTTCCCTGTGAGCACCATCAATAAATGTTTATTCCTGTTCCCAGGCTATCCAGTTTGATCCCGAAACCCACGTGCCCGTGGTTACTGACAGCTGTACAGGCTGCACCCTGTGTCTCAGCGTCTGCCCCGTTATCGACTGCATCCGCATGGTTTCCAGGACAACACCCTACGAACCAAAGCGCGGGCTGCCCTTAGCCGTGAACCCCGTGTGTTGAGGTGCTCAGCTCAACTTTACACTTGTTTGATGCGATTGATTTGCTTTCTAATTAGCCCTTGAAAATCTGCTCTTATAAAAAACATACCCCCATTGATAGCTGGTAGAACGAACGCCGGGTTTTCCCATTGCTATTCTTACAACAATTAAGGTTTGAAATTACAGTTAGTGGTGGCTGCCATTGTCCACGGGTTGAAGTGTAACTTTTCCTTATGGTTCCTGCTGTAATTTCACAATTCCTCTTGAATCTCTGTGTATTTTCTGGCTCTACATACTCTGAAGAAAGCCCTCTGAATGAACTGCAAATCAATGGACGAGCTGGCTGCTTTCAAGGAGGCATTTTGTAATTAAACATTGCATTTAGTTTTAAAAGTGTTTCCTAGAAGATGTAATTAACTCCGTAGCATTCAAACAAAGCAATGTGGCTTCTATTTTTCTATGGGAAGAAATGAAAGGGAGTTTGAAACAGGATTTAAGAACTGGATTAATCACTTGCAACTACTCCAGCATATGGTAGCGTGTTTTTATAATCCTTTCTAATTCTTCCTCACACTAGACACTTTATAGAATAAATTTGCTGTGCAGTAACATGTGCTGGACTCTTTAGATTTGTGTCTTGCCTGGGTAGCTTGAAAGTCACTTTATAGCATCCCTCTAAAACCAGTTAAACCAGCTTCCCATGAAGGCCAGGCTGCATTTCAGGATTCTGAGATGTGACAATGTGTTGTTGCTCCAAGCTCATCCTCTAAATACCTTTTTAATTGTGCCAATTAATGCTCCAGAATGTACATGTTCCAGGTCAGAGATCTGATTACGTGCAAATGGAATGCACGCCCTGCAGACTGCCTTTGCCAAACACAGACACATTGGGCACGCTGGTAAGATGATTCCCCCCAGTGCCAATTCTTCATACTTCTGTATGATTATAATAGTTTCACAACCCAAATGAAATATAGATTTGTCTGTCTTGCTAAACAATAACTCAGTTTTAATCCGTTTTTCATTCACAGTAGGAACTTTCTAATAGGAATGTATTGCTGTCTGCTTTACTCCATTTAAGACTTGTAAAGCCTTTAGTTTCATCATCATAATAAATGACCTAACAGTTCCATTTCTTATACCCTATATTGTGATCACCGAAAGCTTTGATGAAAAATACACCCTGACTTTTCAATTGTGCACATAATTATAAATAAATGATAAAGCAACTTGGGTTTGTTTGGGGCTTTTTTTTTTCCATTCACTAAACAGATTTATTCTTGATCTCCAAGATTCACTCCAGGAACCATTAATGAGTTAATTCATGTGTACATTAGTCCATTAATTGCCTACACTGCAGAATGCAACATGCTCTTTGCCCCTCTCTGGCACCTCTTTGTCTGCCTCTGACTCTCTTCCTTTTGCATCCTTTCCCCACTCACTTCATGCACACATACGTACACTCTGTGTCACTCCAGCGTTTTCAGGTGTCATTTCATTTAGTATCTTTGCTCCACCAACACTGTTTTGCTGACACTTTGGGCTTGCTTGATGAGATCCCTTGGCAGGCTCAAGCCCAGTGTCTCCACTAATAGCTTTCTCTTCAGCCTTTAATTTTTCCCTTCATCACCGTGGATTTTGCACACACAGATGAAAACAGGAACAGATACTGCTCGGAAATACTTGCCTGAAACATCTTTAAAGCTCTTGGCTTTGTGGTAGTTCTTATGAGAGCTAGAGAGGACTCACAGGTAGAAGAAGCTGTTAGGGGCAAAGTGTGGAGGTAACGGGCATGCCCTTGAATGGGGCAGGAGAAACCCTCAAGATCAGATCACCTGCAGCTAACATTTTATGTTCCTGGTTATAGCAGATGCAAGGAAAAGGAGCTCTGTTACAATATACTTCTTATTGTGTATCCTACCTGCCATGAACGCTGAGGGTGAGGTATGTGTCCCCTGTCACAGAGCTGGCCAGCTTCTCCAGGGCTTTTCTTGCTGCATCCTCAGACCCGATTCCCTTCCTATCCTGAAGGCATCACAGCTGGTAGCATGGCTTCTAAATGCAGGACAATGCCAGGAGATCTAATTTAAGTATCTAAGCACACGTACATCATAAACGTAGCAGCAAAAGTAGAGCTTTTCCTAGGATATTCAGGAGGAACAGGACGTCCAGTATTCCCAAGTAGTTATAAAGTGATCTTTGGAGGAATAAAGAAATTCTTTCTGAATCAAGATTATAATCAAGACTATAATTTACCGAAGAAGGAATAACAGGTTATATTATGCAGGTTGCTTTCTCACTACCCACCCTCTCCCCCACTCTTGTTCTGCCAAGTCCGTTAACAGCTTCAGGAAATGCCTTCCCAAATGAATGTGAATACATTCTAACTCTGACAGCCAGCAATAAATCTGTGTTGCAGGAGCCCAAGAGAAATGGCCACGTTTAGGCCTCCTGCAAGACCGTCTTTAAGTCATTAGGGCAAGGTGAGACGTGAGCAGGCAGGGGAGAGAGCCACAAAGGATGTATTTCTGGGTTTTACAGGTCTTTCACATCCGTCTTGGGGAATCCATCCCATTCAGTGCATTCAAGAGCCAAGGAAAGAAATCAGAACTATTGAGTCTTATTCTGCAAACACTGGAGCCAGTTAATAAAAAGAGAGATACGAATTGTCAAAGTGTAAAAGGTTCCAAATTAAGCTCATCTATTTCAGTGATTTAGTTGCACGTTTAAGGAATTATGCATTATGAAAGCCACGCTGGGCAAGGTCCTGCACCCCTCACCCTTGCAGGTATTAGACATGTTTTCCTATTGATTACTACTATTACTACAATATTGTAAACTCTGTTTGAGAAAGGAAATTCGGATAGAAGTGCCATAGCTCATCTTCCAGTAGCACATTCTTATTCCCATCATGTTCCTGAACAGAAAAAGCTCCCCATGTTCGGAGTATGCTCTGCAGTCCAAGTAATACTTGAAAAAGCTGCCAAACCTGCTTGTGTGGATCCCGCTGCACCCATACCTGTTCGTTGGAAGAAGAGTCCACCAGCAGTTTGGGGTTTGGCCTCTAGGATGAACAGACATAATATTTGCAAGGCGACTTTAGTAGCCACAGTTGACAGTTTAAAATACATCATTTTCTGATTTTAAATGAAATATGAATTTGATCTCTTAGCAAAGTTAAGCTAGCCATCATGAAGCTGATGGGTAGCCTGTATGTCCAGTGTTGAAGCCAAAGTACGTGTGTGCTGCTCCTTACTCTGCTGCTTTACCAGTTGCTGGGGGAAGCTATCTCAGCATCGAATCATAGAATCAGCCAGGTTGGAAAAGACCTTTAAGACCATCGAGTCAAGTGCCAAGGCCACCACTAACCCCTGGCACTGAGGCCTCGTCTACCCGGGCTGTGAACACTTGCAGGGACGGTGCCTCCAGCCCTGCCCTGGGCAGCCTGTTCCAATGCCTGAGCACCCTCTGGGCAAGGAATTGTTCCTCAGCTCCAGCTAAACCTGCCCTGGTGCAGCTTGAGGCCGTTTCCTCTTGTCCCATCCCTTGTTCCTTGGGAGCAGAGACCTACCCCACCTCACTACAACCTCCTGTCAGGAGCAAAATGCAAGTTACGTGTCAGAAGTGCTGCCCCTCTTTGTTGGGTCGTGGAGGGGACAGGCCCCGTGTGGCCTCTGGGAGAGGTGTCCTGGCCACCACAGAGTACCTTGCCATCATTTCTGCCATCTCCCCACCTTCCAGCAGGTTTTACTGCCACCTTTGGCTCCTCCAGCTTTCTTGTCTTTAAGCCTTTTATCTAAAGGTGGCAAAAGTGATTGCTAGGTTCAAAGCAAGCTATTCAAACCCCGATGACTGCCATCAACCCGCATCCGACCACTTTGTTTAACACAATCCAAGACTGTAGCCTTAGAAATACACTGTTAAGCAGAGATATTTCCTATCGAGAAGAAGAACCTGCCAGCATATTCTGTCTGTATGTTTCATTATTTATCTACTGTAACATGGGTTTGGGCACGTTGTTAAAATGTTGGTATTTTTCAACATGTTTCCTAGTAGAAATCATCTTTTTTTAGCTAAAATATTCATTTTCCTGGCAAAGGTTTCACTTCACCAGCCTGCTCCACTTCTTTGATGAACTGTGGAAGATGATAGGTTTTCAGTGGCAACATCTGGCAACCTGGCAGAGCCTCTCAGCAGCTGGATTGGTAACTTCAGAGTTGCTTCTGGGTCTTTCACGTAATTAGTCTGTTTATGGGCCATCTGGGTCCTTGCTGTTGCCATTTCCTTTCCTGAGGAACTGTAAGCTCTCCAGTCATTTCTCCAGGAGATGAGTTTTTAATAACTCCTCAGCTTGGTCTGCTGGGTCTTGTGCAAATGGCCATGCTGGGAGCAGGGACCACACTTTCATCCCTCCTTCTTTCTTAGAGGTCTGAGTCTGCCCATTTCTGTGCTGTGGGAGCAGAGCTTCTCATTGCTACCAAGCAGTGAAGCTGGAGGTCAGCTCAGCAAGAGTATCTCTTTTGCACAAATAAAAGCCCTAAACAATCTCAGCGCAGTACTTGTTTCTGCATCTCCTGGGCCTTTCCACGTATTTGGCAACCAGGACCCTTAAGACAAGGATAGCAAATCGTTTCAAGCTGTTGCTCACCTGTTTTTCAAGTACTTTGTAATGTTAAGCTTTTCACACAAGTTGACTAAAACAGTGGCAACCATTGGTCTGCCTTGTCTTCTTTAAGACCAAACATTTTACTACTTCAGCAATGACGTGATACAGTGACGTTGCTCCTCAGGATGACTGCCTTCCACCGTGAGTTCTCTTCTGATGCATTTCAGCCAGGAAAGAGGCAGACAGCATCAAATGCCTCCAGTGGGCAACTCACACTGATGATTACCAATGAGAGTCGCACACCACCAACTAGGGCTAATCATCATCCTAAAGGACATCATTATTCTCACCTGTTTAGTCTAGAGACTACTTATTGTCACAGCTTTTACTTCTGCTTAGGCCTCCTCACTGGAATCTTCCTTTTCAATCGCTGAGAAATGGTGTTTCTTGGGAACTGAAGTCCCATTATCATGCA